TCTCATGGTAGTGAATAAGTCTCACGAAATCTCTTGGTTTTTTAAAGGGGTTTCCCCTTTTGCTTGGCTCTCATTTCTCTCTTGCCTGCTTCCATGTAAGACATGCCGTTCATCTTCCACCATGATTGTAAGGCCTCTTCAGCCACATGGAACTGTGAGTCTACTAAACCTCTTTTTCTTTATAAATTGCCCAGCCCTGGTTATGTCTTTATCAGCAGTGTGAAAATGAATTAATAGACCAAGGCTTTGGGGTAAGCCCATTCTTCATTGCAAACTCTTGCCAGTCCTCAGTTCCAAGGGGAAGGGAAACGCTCTTCAAAAAACTTCCTTGAGCAATGACAGTTCTCCTTGCCCATTCTGAATGTTCCTCCGTGCCTGACAAGAACTGTGCATGTGCTGGCACTAACTATGATATCTCCAGCATGCTGCAAGGCTGACAGAGTGCTGCAAGACAAATGGGGGGTTTCTGGACGCAATGGTTTCATTTAATCAGAGTGTGTAATGTCCGCCTGGACCAAGGCAGGCAATTTCTGTATAAAGGCCTAAGTCTGCAGAGATACTGCAATTGTGCATGCAGGTGTACGTGTGGGGGTGTGCACGCACATTCATCTGTGTGCACACCCAGTGAGCACAGATGTCTGTTTCATGTGTTGGTCAATTTGTTAAGAGATGATAGAACTGTCTGCATTAACTACTTCATGCAGGAGACCCCTTAACTTCTGCCTTTGATTTTTAATTTTTTCTAAGGTTTGCATTTCCAGAGTTGGGCTTTGCAATTAAAATATAATTTCTTGATGAAAATGTACTGGATAATGTGATAGATCTTATTCTGTGCTTTTTATTCTCTTTCTTACTTAGACTGTTGCCTCTGGAGCAAATACACAGTTGCCTTCTATGCTTGCACCATCCCAAGAACATCATCGATGCTGAACAAATAAATACCCAGAGTTGTGAAGTGAAGTCTAAAATTTATAGAACAGGCTCATCTATCAAAATTTGGACACCAGAACGCAGAGTCAATTATCACATATTAACTTGTTCTTGTTGGCATTTCAATGTATTTAGAAAAGATTCACTTCCTCCACACACACATTAACCTGCCATACCAAAACACGAGCAAAAGAGAGAACACTTCAGACATAACTCAGCTGTCCCTGTGTCTCTAAAAACTACTACACATAGCAAAGCTTACATCTCTTTATAATAGATGACCCTGAAGAGTCTACTTCACATCCAAACTTTCTTAGAATGGAAGACATCCTAAATATAATCTTAGATTTGGGAAAGCATTTTTATATAGATTGTCTTAATTGATTTTTATAAGATTGCAAGGCAGTTCAGGCATCATTCCCACTTCACAGGTGAGCAAGCTGACATACAGATATGTGAACTGACTTTTTGTTAACATGAAAGGAGGGAAGGAAAGAAGGAAGGAAGAAAGAGAGGGAGGAGGAAGGACGGAGGAAGAAAGGGAGGGAGGGAGGGAGGGGAAAGTATGAAACTATCTTTATAGCAATTGATTAATTCCTCAGCCCCATTTAGTAACAGCAGCAGGATCAGAAATTAATATTTTTAATACTAATGGTACTAATAGTGATAACAGGACTGTGGCAGTAATTAGTAGCAGTGACAGTAGTAACATTACTGCCTTATCTTTATATAGCATAGAATTTTCCAGGGCAATTTCACGTATGGTTTTGCATTTATTCTTCACAACAAGCTTCTAGGATAGTTACTACAGGTCGCATTATATGATGAGGAAGCTGAGACTTGGGAGAATCATCTTTCTTCAAGTCACACAGCACCTAGGTGACCACCTCTGGTCTTGTGACAGTAGTGGGTTCCCTCATCAGTGTGGTGTTGCTTTGCCCACCTGTCCAGGCAGCTAGGAGATCTCACCCTGCAGCTCTTATCTCGGGGAAGAAATGTTGTCGGGGTAACCCAGGCCAGATACGTAGGTGAGGTAAGCATCAGAGATGACATCACAGAAAGACAGCAAATTGGAAAGAAGCCACTGTGGAAGGCTGAGCTCTCCAGTGGTGGCCTGAACTGGACTGGTTCCCAAGAAGGGGATCAGGCTGAGGACAAGGAGGTGCAGACTGTCTCCTGGTCTCTCCAGATCATGGCCTGTCTCTAGCTATATCACTCAGCCTTCAGCTTTATCTCCATTCACCCACAGAAAGAAGCCCCTCCTTTGGGTTCAGGGTAAAACTTTTGTTTTTCTACTATCTGGATTTCAGCCTCTTGACCAGGAAGTTATCACCAGGGGCTTTGATGTGGGCAGATCGTACTGAGATCCACACTGCCTGCAACTCTGTGTCTCCCCATTGGAAAGCACAGTCCACTCCAATGGGATGAGGGTTCTTTGGCCATGTCTTCCCAGTGGACACTGGATTTATGATGGCAAGCTGTGAACTGACAAGGCAGTGGACAGAGAGGGGAACATCCTGTCACCCACTGTACATGGCTCATGGAATTCAGGAAGAAAGTGAGAACATGGGTTTTAAAGGATTCCAGAAATCCCCGTGATTTCTGCGATTAATGCATATGACTTGGCCATAATAAAGAGAAATATACAGAAATGTTTTTACATACAGAAAGATGTTCTGGAGATTACCAAAACAGCATCCAAGTGGGGTAGTATAACCTTGCACAGAAATGGCAATCCACAAGCTAAACACTTGACTCTAGGGGTGTGGATTTGTAACTGAAAGAAGCACAGACCACACAGCCCTTTCCTGACACTGGAGGCTCCCAGCCTTCCTGGTCAAGCAATTGTGACCAGGGAGGGGGCAATTATGACCAGACCTCTAGGATAATATCTTAGAAATATAAAATGGGGAAAGGTGGTAGAGGGGGAGAGGAGAGAGAAGCGGAGCTGTCAGCATGCTTGATGTTAAATAAAACCTACCAAGACTCAGCTGAGAATTTTAGCAGAATCCAAATGTGCTAAAAAAAAAAAAAAAAAGAAAGAAAGAAAGAAAGAAAGAAAGAAAAGAAAAAAAAAAAGGCATAGGCATGGCTCCCATCTCTAAGGTTCACAGCTAAGCTGGCTTAGAATCACACATGCCAAGGTTAAAAATAAAAAGCAGCCATCCCTGAATGACATGGGCTCTGGGATGGAAGCCTGAGTTATGTTGTTTAGTGGTGGAAGGAAGAGAGGGGAGGAAAAGAGTCTGGGTTGAGGGTATAGGTATTTAGAGGCCACACTATCTAAAAGCCAGACGCTCAGAATTTTGCTGTTTTGCACTTAAAAGGCACTTCACATTGGCAAAAGGTTTCATGATGATCTTCAGATTTTCCATCGAGGAAATGTTGGCCTGCATTCGAATGCAGTCATGGCTGACCCACTCAGGGCTCTGCTGGTCAATGCGTTTGCCCCCCGCCCCATCCCGGGGTCTGGTTAAGACAGTGTCCACACACACCTAGACGGGATGCCCGTGAGTCACAGCTTGGAAAGCACAGTGAGCTATCAGCATTGGCACACAGCCAGATCTGCCACTCTGTGCCAACCTACCCTATTAACCAGCGTAATGGTGCTGGGGCCACCCACAGGCTCGCTAGTCCCTGCTTGGCTGCAATAGGGATAGACTATGTGTCTGCCTGCTATGGGTGGTGCATGACCTACTCCTTGTCCCCACAACGACAACTATTGTGGGTCAGGAGTAACCTGCAAAGGTGCTAAATTAGGTCTGTGGCCCCCACATTTTTGGTAAATCCAAGGCCCTCTATTATAAGTGCAGAAGTTGTCCCTTGTCCAATGCATATGACCTCTACTGCCTAAGGCCGTAGATAAAAATAGCAGATTTAGCCTCAGCTACTCTGTCAGCTACCATGTTAGCCCTCCCCTATGCAGATGTTTCCAGAAAGTCTTCAAAGGGTCAGATGAACGGTGAGAATTCTGTGACCTATGTGTTACAGGGAACCCAGACGTTACATCACTCACACGCGGTCCAGTCTTACACTTCAGGACCATACAGAGCTGGGGAGGCAGATGGGCATTGAGGAGTGGACCCTGCCACTTTACAGAAGCTTTGGTTTGTGCCTTGATACCCCCAGTGGGGATAATTCTCCTCCTTGGCATGCATGGGAAGCACAGACAGTCTATGCATAACTGGCTGCCCCTAAGACCCTGGCCAGACTTCACCCACAGTGCTCACCTTCAAGCTCCACATCTTGGCCGCTGGTTTAGAAGCATCACTTAACATGAAGTGTCTCTTTTACACCTTTAAGACGCTTTAGAAAAGCCTTGGAAGGTATACAGGACAAGGACTGTTTTCTGCCCATTGGGATGGATGAGAAAAGAGAGGCTGAGAGAGCTGAAGAAACTTGCTCAAGCTTGAGTGACAGCCAAGACTCGACTCAAGGGCTCTTTCCACTACCCCAAGACCACTTTCCCAGGGCCAGAGCTACTGGGGTGGGGGGGAGTCTCAGCCCGGTTACAGCAGCAAATACTTGGGTTTGAGATTGAGACTCCCTAAGGCACCTTTCTTACTAGAGACCTCTGGGGATGTGCTCTCATTTGGCCTGAACTATGGGGACCTTTCCCAAGCAGACCCTTGCTGCAAACGGTTCTGAACTGACTTCCTTTCCTCAGGGTCCTTCAGGTGTTGGGGACCAGCAAAGACCTAAAGAGGGTCAGGATGGGGCGGCGTTCAGGAAGCATACGTCTTTGCCAGTTCCTTCCTTGGGCACCCCAAGGGCTGGTCACAGAGGGAGCCTGCCCTCCAACTGGCACTTAGGCTTGACTGGAGATCTCCTTTCTTTTCCAGCGACTCCAGTGACAACAGGGAACGCCCTTTGTAGTTCCAGAATCTGCCCGTCTAGATAATCACTGGGAAGTTCTGGGTAAATCCTGCTAGAGTCTCCCATAGCCCCACGTGTCAACCTGAACCCATACAACGAGTTGGGTTAAGATAGAGGAAACACAAGAGACAGACGGCTCTCCCGATGGAAGCGATCAGAGACCCGGAGCAAGGAGTGGAGCTCCCGATCCTTACCTGTACCAGTCCAGCCCGCGGCCGTAGTTCCTGTCGAAGAAATGGGGCTCCGTGCCCAAGGCCCGCACGTCCGGGTGCACGCGGATAAACTCCAGCACGGCCCGAGTGCCCCCCTTCTTCACGCCCACAATGAGGGCTTGGGGCAGCCGCTTTGTACCCAGCTTGGGTGAGCCAGAGTGGTTGGAACCGGAGAGACGAGGGGCGGGCACGGTGGGAGCGCTGGGAGCGCTGGGCTCGCTGGGCGGCGGCCGGGAGGGATCACAGGGGCGGGACTTCTGGAGAAGTTTCTGGCCGCCCGCGCTGGGGCCGCGGAGGCAGCGAGGCGCGCCCAGGAGGCGACTCCTACCCAGGTCGTCGCAGCAGCACAGGAAGCTGTAACACAGGTAAGTGCAGGAGAGCGAGAGCGTGAAGGCGAAGAGCAGCCTGCGCGCCCTCCGCGGCTGAGGTGGCCCCGCGCGGCCCAGGACCCTATAGGCCATGGCTCCATGGACCCGCGCCGGGGCTCATGGTTTCCGAGGGGGCACCGGCGGCGGAGCTGCTGTAGCCCTGCGGTCGCCTAGAGGGCTCGCGTGGCTCTGCCCGGGCCGCGCGAGTCGGACGTTGGGGGCACCGTCTTCTCCAGGCGCTGCTGGCCGGGGCGCGCACGGTGCCCCGGGATCCTGGGGGCAGCGGCTCCTCGGGTAACAGGCGGTTGCATTTCCAGCATCTCGTGGTCCTAGGCGATGGGGCTCAGGGCAGCCGGGCGGCTCGGGCGCTCCCTGGCTCTTACGTGCGCCGGATTCGGAGCGCGCCCAGCGCCCGAAGCCCCATTCCTGATCCTCCGAGCGCCGCGCACGAAACGCTCGGCGGCGGCTCAGCTGTGCGGGCTGGCGGGTGGACCGGACGGTGGCGCTGGCGCAGGCCGTGATCTGGCTCCTCGGGAAATGCCGAGCGGAGTGCGCTGCCGGCTCTATTTAAGGAGTCGCCTGACGTCAGCCGCGCGGGTCCCCCGAGCCCGCGCCGCGCCCGGGGACCTGGCCCGCCCCCTGCGCCCCCACTCTCTTACCCCTCCCAGAAACACAGCACGCGGTCCCTCCCCCCGCAGGCCACTCCCTACGGAGCCCCAGGCCAGGTTGGGGTGGTGAAGAGGTGTCAAGGCATGGTACTCCTCCGGGAGGCTGGACACCCCCACCACGCGGGCCTCTTGACACCCAGGGGCAGGAACCCAGGTCGAGATCGCGCCGACATCTAGACCAGACAGACTCAGACGCAGACGCAGGCACCCTGCCCTGGTGCGCGGTCCCACCACCCTGACCCGTACACGGCACGCACAGGCACAGAAGCACACGCGCCCTAGCCCAGACACACCCCCACATCCACGCAGGGGCGGGGAGGAGAAGTTCCCTAACCTGGACCCAGATACACTGACAGGGACACTCCCCCCGCCCTCGACATCTCGCCAAATGCACACACACGGCCCGGAATCGCTCACCGAGCGCACGCCCGCCCGCCCGGGACTGGGACACGCGCTGTAGACGGCATGGGTGGAGGAGCCGAGCGTGAGTGAGATTCCGTGACTATTCACCGAGCTTCTTAGCCCCCCCGCACGCTGACTCACACCCCGGCGGCTCGCTCTGTCTCACACCTATGAGGCACGCTCGCACCCCAGCCCATTGTCACCCCCCTATTCCCGGGCCTGGCCGGAGGGCGAGCCCCGGAGCCGCAGACTCCGCGCCAGGAAGGTTCCTTTCTTAGCTGCCGCCGCCTAGCGGTAGACTGCTCCCCCGGGAGCTGTTCGGGGAGCTGTCCAGGGTACTAGAGGGTCACTGAAGGCTGAATCCTGAGGGCTTCCTGACGCAGAGACGCTAGGAGGAGGAAACAGAATACAAAGAGAACGTATCCAGGAGCAATTCCACTTCGAATGATTGATTCCTAAGTGAATGCCCACAGGACAGTTCTCGGTGACCATGCCCAGAACAGGCTTGAGTGACCATCTCCAGTACTTCACTGAGGAACCACACTGGTACTTTGGATCAGAACCCTACATCAGAACAGGCCTAAATAGCCATGGCCAAGAGCACAGCTGAGAGCTGAGTTGTCCTTCAACAACAATGCCAATCCCAAGTCACCACTTTCGGGTGTTCACAAAGTGAGTTTCCCCCGACCCCCGCCATAGAATGTCTAGATGACCACAATCACCCCCACCCCAATCAGGTTATAACTGACTTCCTTCATGAGGGCATAAACTGATCATTAGATTCTGTGAACCTTAGCCCAAACCAGAAAATATTTTATCTCCAAACCAGTCTCATCCCTAGAAACCTTAAACCAATTCTACTGCAGATAATAATAATAGCTACCAACTTTATATCAAGCACCTGGCATGTGTTAACTGATTAAATATTCACCACAACCTATGAAGTTGTTACCACTATCCCCACATCACTTTGCTTTCTTAACGCTAATAGTAGCTAGCATTTATTGAGTGTTTGTTTTGTGCCAGTTATGCGCTAATCACTTGACATGCACTACCTCATTTATTTTTGGAGATAGGCATTATTGTAATTCCTAATTTACAGGCAGTGAAAAGAAGGTTTAACAAACATATACACAGTAACTGGCAGAGCTGGGATTAAACCCAGGTAGTCTGGCTCCAAGATTCAAGCTCTTAGTTACAGCACTTTGCAGCTTCCTAATTTCCTTTGGCCATTACTCATTTAATTACATCCTAGGCTCCTCTCCCAGATGTGAGCTAATTTGTCCATGTCTCTTCTAAAATTTTGCACCTGGGACTGCATAATGAATTTCAGATATGGATTGAAAAGTTCAACAGGACTCTCACCTCTCTTTCATAAGTTGTTTCTAGTCATGCTACCTAAGACTCCATTATCTTTTCTTGTAGCTATATCATACTGCTGACATCTCAAACTTGCAGCCAAGTGCCATCTTTGAATGTTTCTTACAAGTGCTGCTGATTAAGGCACAGCCACCCCATACTGTGCTTGTACAGTGGGCCTTTTTGGACCCAATATGTAGGTCCTTATAGATTTGACTTGATTACATTTCATCTTGTCTCATCAGTTCACGGCTCCAGTTCTTTTTTTCAAATGTCTATTTGAAGTCAAATCATGAGGTAGCTTTCATTTATTCAAAAAGAAAAAGTAGCTTTACCCTTTATTCCAGGTGTACTTTGGGCAAATGGACCCCTTTTGAGCCTCAGCTTCCTCAGCTGTAAAATGGAAAGCTATGAATCACTTGAAGGCCTCTCAAAGTTTAGATGTTGTGTAATTCTATGATTCCATTATCCAAATCTTAACACGTCATTCTAATTGTTGATAAAAATGTCAAAACAAATGTGCTGAAAGACCTTCTTCTTCTCCTCCTCCTTCTCCTCCTCCTCCTCCTCCTCCTCCTTCTCTTTCTTCTTCTTTCTTCTTATTCTTATTCTTATTCTTGGTGGGGGGAAGTTCCCAGTCTGTTGACCACAGTGGAATGCAGTAGTGCAATCATAGTTCTTGCTGCAGCCTCCACCTCCTGGGCTCAAGGGATCCTCATGCCTGAGCCTCCTGAGTAGCTAGGACTACAGACATGTGCCATCACACCTAGCTAATTTTTAAATTTTTTGTAGAGATGAAGTCTCACTTTGTTGTCCAGGCTTGTCTTGAACTCATGAGCTCAAGTGATCCTCCTGCCTCAGCCTCCCAAAGTGCTAGAATTACAGACATGAGCCACCATGCCTGGCCTGAAATGAGCTCTTAAATATACTTTGAACAATGATTCATATAATGAATCTGCTATTTCTGTATTCTGTTGTTAAAATTAAAAGGTTAAATGTGGAGTAAGCTGCGATGATGAGTACACTTTTCCTTAGAAAATAAAACATGAATATAATGATTTCTCATAATTCTGTGCTTGACTCAATTTTTAAATAATTTTTAATCTTTGAATTCATAAGCTGTGATATCCCTGGGTACTCACACATATCAGAGCCAGGAATCATTTTCTCTTCACATTTCCAATCAGAGTAATGATTGACTTGGATAGAATTTTTTAGGAAGTGAGACAGTGGACATACCTGCTCATCTCCCATATCTTTATCTGTTTACTGCAGCAAACATGATTCTGCTTTGGGGTTCTTAGGTAGGACTGTGTTGGGTTGTGTAGTTTGTCAATTAACACTCACTTAAGCAAGGTATGTGTTTATTTTTGTATCCATGGAAATCCAGATGAAGGTGGTTCAGGGCTTGTATGGAAGCTCCAAAGCGTTTGGGACCCAGGTTCCCTCTAATGTGTTACTCTACCAGGAGTTTCCTCCATTCTAAAGTCACCACATTGTCTGCAGTGACTTATTCATCTACAGCCATCATGTTCACATTCTGGTCACAGTAAATACGTAAAGACATGCCATATCTCTTTAAGGACATTTCTTGGAAGTTTTCTATATTATTGCCACTCATATTCAATTTGACAACATTTCATCATTTGGCTTTCTAGCTTCAAGAGATGCTTCAAAATGTAGTCTTGATTCTGGATGGTTGTATGCCTGGACTAACACTTTGAGATTTGGTTATCAAGAAAGCACTAAAGAACAGTTGCAGAGGACAACTGGTAATCTTTACCATCCTTGGACAAACAGTTTTCCCTCTTTTTTTCCCATGTGGTTTTTATGGGTTGAACATAGTTCAAAGACAGGCATAGGACCAAGCCTGACATCATCACTTTCTAATTATATTTCAAGGACTAAAAATAACTAAAATCTTTCTAGTGAGAATAAACCACGCAACTTTTGTTGAAACTATTGGAAAAGAGAAACTCTTCTTTTTCTGAGATGATGAATTAATCTAAAATAAGCCTGAAGCTTCTAATGGTCATCTCTGCCACGAAGAGGAGAATGAAGCCAATGAAGAAGAGAGCAGAACTGAAGGAGGGAGAATCAGATTCCTGATAATATCCTTTGAACCTCTGAATCTAGCCATGCTGAATGCATGGCCCCTGGACTTTTTTGCTCCAGTGATTAGCTATCTTTCTGTTAGCACTTGCAATTGAAAGAGTCCTGACTAATACAACAAACAAGCAAAAGGAGTTCCTCCCTTAATTGCAAAGAATAGGTACTATTTAAATAAAGTGATGGAGGTGGGATGGGGGCTTATTTTGAAGGATATGCAATACACCAGGACTGCAACCCTTCCAAGTTTGAGATAGTCATAGGATCCAGTTACCTTTTTCAACTTCTCTACTTTTCTTGTATCTTTTTTTTTTTTTTTTGAGACAGAGTCTTGCTCTGTTGCCAGGTGCCAGGCTGGAGTGCAGTGGCACAATCTCAGCTCACTGCAACCTCTGTCTCTTGTATCTTACTTATTTTGTTTCTCATTCTTAACTGCCATTGCTCTTAATTTATGAATCAGTAATGGTTACTAGAAGAAAAAAGAGATTTGGAATATCTTACACAGGAAAGGAAGTTTGGGATAGCTCACAGAATTAAGAAGAAGGCTGGAGAACTGGGCTTAAATAGAATATCAACCACAGAGCACATTATACTCCGTTTCTTTTCTTTTTCTGAGTTCATTTCTCTTTTGCGTCAGTATTCACTTGAATCTTCCTTCCCACTCTAATGCCCTGCATTCAAGACCTTGAATTTAAAATTATAAAAGAAGGAATTTTTCTTTCCCTTCAGTCTTTAGGCCTAATCAAGCCTTGTTATTGAGTTTTATTTCAGTGTGTAAGCTTCAAATCTGTTCCCTAAAGCAGCGTTTTGCAAAATGTGAGAAAATGTCCTAAAGAGGGTGACTGCCAAAAGAGGGCAAAGGACAGCGAAGTGGAGTCACATGGCCTGCAGGTTCTCAGGTGCAAAGCTCACATCTGAATCAGAGGATGTGTATATGTCTGCTTCATTTAGGAAAGAGGTTGAGCACAAAAATGAGAGAAGATTTCAGTTGTGCTTCATTCCTTGGTTAAAAGCAGAGGGTAAAAGCTCAAG